GAGTGGTGTAATCTTAAAATGGAGTTCATTTTCAAAATTTGCGGTCTGGAAACATATGAAGTAGACCCTTATATCGAATAAATTCAAAAAACTTAAATAAATCGAAATGGAGTGGTGTAATCTTAAAATGGATGTTATTTTCAAAAACTACTCATACGATAACAGACACATACATCGAAAAATTAAAAATAATTAAATAAATAAAAAAAGGTTGAATTGGAAATGGAAAAGGTTAAATTTGATTTGGTAAAGGTTGAATTTGACGTGGAAAAGGTTGAAATTGACTTGGAAATGCTATATGTTTATTTAATATCTAATTATGTGTAATTCTATTGTTTTTATCAAAGAAATGTTTAATTTCTAGTTGTATCAAATTGTTCTAAAACATCTTGTTTTATCTTTCTGAAGTTTATTGTTTGTAAGGTTATCTCCAGAATTAGATATTTTTGGTTTTATTACATCTCTTTTTCTTTCTTTTTTTTATTCATTTAAAAAAAATTTCTGAAATAATAGTCTAAGAGGGTTGGATAGTTTTCTGTATGTAACTTTGCTCGGCCATAAATTAGATTTGCTGTAGTATGTATATATATGTATGCATTGAATCGAACATCAATAGTTTATCATGATGAAATACTCTGCAAAATAAGAACAATTTTCATTTGCTATTGGTATAAGACAAGTACAAAATAAAAATTACGAAACTCTATAAATCTCGATAAAATTAAATCTTAAAGCCAATATATCAGTCTTTATTATCCTTATAAATATTATTCCTTGTGAAACTCTATGGATTATGATGAAATAAATTCAAAAGGACGATATATTGGTTCATGGGTTGAACTGAAAAACATTTGGATGAAGACAAGCACAAAATTAAAAAAAAAAAAAAACTCGAGATTGGTAGAGTTTGATAATGTTTTATAATGAAGTCTTGAAGCTAACACGTAAGCTCAGCACCGCTGTTACCGCTACTTGATTGATATATGATAGAATTTTATACAAACAGTTACAAATTCGCGTCCTGGTGCCTAGGGAGACTTTTAACTCTGGCATTAACGCCACTGTCTCCCTCTCCCTGGCCCGGTAAAAGGTCATATAGTCTAAAAGGTGAGAAAGGGATGGACCCTGAAAAAAAAAAAATGTTGTGATTGACATATCTATTAGGAATAGAAATAATATAGCATTTCCAAGTCAATTTCAACCTTTTCCAAATCAAATTCAACCTTTTCCATTTCAAATTCAACTTTAAAATTTTTGTCAATTTTTGTCAATTTTCGATTTTTTTCGAAATTAAGGCCACTTACTATATTATCGAAGGCATAGCTTTTGAAAAATACAAAAAAAAATTTGATAACGTGGTTACATATCCATTTATTTTAACATTTTAGATTTTTTCAATGTAATATTTCTATGTCATATTCAATTATTTCCAAGTCAAATTCAACCTTTTCCAAGTCAAATTCAACCTTTTCCAGATCAAATTAAACTTTTTCCAAGTCAAATTCAACCATTTCCATTACAAATTAAAACTTTTCCAATTCAAATTCAACCGTTTTGATTTCAAATTAATGTTTTAATTTTTTGTAAATTTTATATATTTTTTTAAATAATGGCCATCCCCTCCCCTCCTCCAATATGAAAGTTTATTATTATGCTCTCCTAAGTAGAATTTTCACTTACGGATATCGATTTATTGTACCTATTCGGATTAATTAGGGACTAGCATTATGCTGTCCTGTACCTAGTTTTTAACATAATCTCCATTTTAAGATTAGGCCACCGCGTTTCGACTTATTTGAGTTTTTCGGATTTCTTTCATAAAAGGCTGTATTCTTATGTTTCCGGAGCCGTAGATTTTGAAAACGACCTCCATTTTAAGATTAGGCCACCGCGTTTCGATTTCTTTAAGTGTTTCGAATTTTAATCATAAAAGAGTGTATTCTTATGTTTCCGGAAACATAGATTTTGAAAATGACCTCCATTTTAAGATTAGGCCACCGCGTTTCGATTTCTTTGAGTTTTTCGAATTTTTTTCATATGAGGGTGTTTTCTTATGTTTCTAGAGCAGTAGATTTTGAAAACGACCTCCATTTTAAGATTAGGCCACCGCGTTTCGATTTCTTTAAGTGTTTCGAATTTTTATCATAAAAGAGTGTATTCTTATGTTTCCGGAAACATAGATTTTGAAAATGACCTCCATTTTAAGATTAGGCCACCGCGTTTCGATTTCTTTGAGTTTTTCAAATTTTTTTCATATGAGGGTGTTTTCTTATGTTTCTAGAGCAGTAGATTTTGAAAACGACCTCCATTTTAAGATTAGGCCACCGCGTTTCGATTTCTTTAAGTGTTTCAAATTTTTATCATAAAAGAGTGTATTCTTATGTTTCCGGAGTCGTAGATTTTGAAAATGACCTCCATTTTAAGATTACGCCACTGGGTTTAGACTTATTCAAGTTTTTCGAATTTATCTAATTTAAAGATTAGACTTTTATGATGGCTTAATCATGAAATAGAGGTAATTTTCAAAATCTACAGCTCCGGAAACATAAAAATACACGCTTGCATCGAATAAATCAAAAAAACTTAAATATATAAAGAAATCGAAATGCGGTAGCCTAATCTTAAAATAGAGGTCGTTTTCAAAATCTGCGGCTCCAGAAACATAATAATACACCCTTTTATGAAAGAAATCCGAAAAACTCAAATAAGTTGAAACACGGTGGCCTAATCTTAAAATGGAGGTCGTTTTCACAATCTACGGCTCCAGAAACCTAAAAGTAGACCTTTATATTAGATAAATTCTAAAAACTTAAATAAGTCAAAACACAATGGCGTAAAAATAAAATGGATGTCATTTTCAAAATTTACGGATTGGGAAACATAATAATACACCCTTATATCGAATAAATCAAAAAAACTTTAATAAGTCGAAACGCAGTGGCATAATCTTAAAATGGAGGCCTTTTCAAAATATACGGCTCCGGAAACATAATAATACACCCTTTTATGAAAGAAATCCGAAAAACTCAAATAAGTTAAAATGCGGCGGCCTAATCTTAAAATGGATGTCGTTTTCAAAATCTGCTTCTCCGGAAACCTAAAAGTAGACCTTTATATTGGATATATTCTAAAAACTTAAATAAGTCAAAACACAATGGCGTGGAATTGTAAAAGGTTTAATTTGTAATGGAAATGGTTGAATTAGACTTAGAAAAAGTTTAATTTGATTTGGAAAAGATTGAATTTGACTTGGAAAAGGTTGAAATTGACTTGGAAATGCTATATTTATCCTATGTGAAACTCCATGAATCATGATAAAATTAAGTCGTTAAGCCTATATATCGGTGTTAAGAATATTGGTATTAATTCAAATTTTGATAAGAAGAGGATAAAAAAAAATAATAATATAAATAAATTTTAAAAAATGGTTTTACTGTGCTAATCTCAATAAAATGAAGTCATCAGGCCGATATATCGTGATGTTTGATTGACATTTTCATTCAGCAATTACGAGAATTTTCTATGCGAGATTGTACTGAACTAGACATATAGAAGCGAATGGCTGATATGCTGAAATATAGGTTTATCTATCTTTTATTGGTCGAAATTTGTGTATAGGCTGATGTGTAGATGGTCTATTTATTCTTTTATTTGGCAATAAGTAGGATATTCCATGTGGAGCTGCACAATTCTTGACGAAAAAGCGAAAAAAAAGGCCGATATATCGGCCTTTGTAATATCGGTATCGGCTGATTATTGGTATCGGCCAAAATTTCAATATCGGTCGATCCCTAATGGTAACATTGAATTTGGAGAACATTCTGACGAGTTATGACTGATATAGTGAATGGAGTGGGAAAAACTACGAACAAAAGTGTGAACATGAACCAAAAGGCACGATTTGGTGCAGAATTGTAGCATTCTAAATAATAATTATAAAACATTTAATACTGCAGTGTAATACAACAATTCTGCTGCTCATCAGGAATTTAAGATTTTGGGAATTCACCCTCTTCTTCCTAAGCACAGTTTATAATGTATCAATTAGTAATTATTTTTGTAAATTTCAAAAAATTTTATTTCTGTAATTATGACATTGAACACTTTTTAGAATGTTTTTCAATTTGCTTCAATTACATTAGCTGTTACTTTTAGATCTTTATTATTGAAGTTTATCATGTTGGAAATTCTCTTAATGTTTCAATTTTTTTTTTTTTTTTATGATAAAATAACATACATTCTGCTTGGTCTATCTACTTCTTCCTGAGAATTTGAGCCTTTTTGTCTTTTGCCATCATCAGATATTTAAAGCAATGTTTAATAGCTTTTGTAAATTTATAATGAACCAGTGCTGAACAAGCTAATACTTAAATTATAAGTTTAATGTGACAGGCAAGGGTTAAATCATGGCAGAGTGTAAATCATATTTATAAACTTATAAGGTTACTATCAGATTAGCCATTGGCCAATCTTATTAAAATACTGTGACTTAGCCAATTTTTGGGACATTCAATATAAGTTAATTATGTGTGATTTTAATAAACAATTTATATTTGTTTAAATGTAAATTGTTTTAAATGTCATGTATTTTTTTTTTTTTTTTGTAATAGTGATTGGTTCATGATAAAACCAATTATATATTAATTGTATTATTTTAGATTGTTGAAGTGGGGGACAAACATTCCTCGAAATGTCTAATGAATGGCGATCAAAAACTAATTTGATTATCATTGAATTGACCACAAGACAAATCAACAAGTTGTGAAAAGATATTTAGAATGAAGGTCAGAATTGAAAAATGGTTTATATTTAATCAAATAAGTAGTGGCCCAGGTAGAAAAAATTGTTATGGTTATGAGGAATTATATCAGGCTGTCCACCATTCTTCCTCCTAATTGTTAAATCCATTTATAGCTGCAATCAATTCTTACACATTAACTAATTTTTTTAAAAATATATCAATATTTAATATATGTTGATCAATTTGTTTATATTTTTAGCTTATCAGATAAAAGAGGAACTAATACCTCAATTTCATCAGCATCACCTAGAGTCACATTAACTAGTGATGAAAAAAAACACTTATCTGGCTCCCAAGAATCAGGCCTTGAGGATACGCAAGTAATTTAATTTTTTAATGTCAGCCTTTTTGTTTTTAAATTAATACATAAATATGAATGAATTTATATTCATTGATTATTTATTTGTAAGGAATTTCAAGTATTTTATTATTACTTTTAATTTTTATCTTTTGATTTGCATTTTTATTTTAGAGTTGCATTCAAACTGGTGATATACCATACAATCGTGAGATACATGTTATGCGACATGGCGAAAGGGTGGATTTCACCTTTGGAAATTGGGTTCCTTATTGTTTTGATGGAAATGGTAAGCTAACTGAATTGTAATTTATTGTTCAGTGTCGACACTATTTTAAAGTAAGTATAGTAATCTAGACTCTTTAAGTACTTATTAAATTTGCCTAGCTACATTTTAGGTTATCAAAATTTCTTTAATAATAGCTCATTCTGAAGGGATTATATTCAATAACATCTGATTTGATACATTGTATCAAATTGTAAATTTGATGCATAAGGACATTATAAATATTAATTTATAATTTATATATTTTTTAAGCTTATCACTTTATTAGCAAATTAAGTGTTTGTTAGGTGGTTGATATCAGATAACTTCCTGGTAAGTAATAATATTAACCTTTTAGCAACCATGAGTGGGAAGGGTGGAACCTCCTTGAGGATGGAATAGTTTTAATCACCTCTACTGACCACTGGCTCATTTTTATTTAAAGCATCAGTCAAAAATGCCCATAATCTCCAGTCACAGAAAAATTACCTACTACTTCATAGAAAGGCCACAAGATAGTTTAATAGTAGAATTATCGCTAAGCACCCTATCGTTTGATGAGAAATAGCCAGATAGGCTCTCGACTCTTATATGAGCCCACTGTCGTCTGGGCCCAATTTCATCTCGACTCATTTATAAGTCCATTGTCATTAAAGGATTAATAATCCATGAAATTTCTCTAATCTGTCGTCTGCAATTTCATATAAATCATCAGGTGGCTTGAAATTCATCCTTTTTCTTACATCTGTCTTCTATTTATTTCTTCTTCTTGATTTGTTACTTCTTCACTAGTGTCTTCTTATCTATAGTTGAGAAGATTATTAATGTAATTCCTTCATTCGTCAAAAACATCTAACTTGTTGGTAATCTAGTTACTCTCTTTATCCTTGCAGGATTTTAATTTGTGTATTGCTTTCTTTCCTTGTTGATAAATCTACAGAAATCTCTATTTTCTTTGTTACATCTCAGCAGTTTAGTATTTTCCAACTCCTCCCTCTCCTGTTTTTTTTTTTCCTTCTCTGTTGGTATTCATCAACAGACCTCCTTTTGGTTGTTCTTTTAATTGTTTTGCTCGCTACATTATTTCTGTTTGTAGCTGCTCTACATTCCTCATTGAACCATGAGAATCTCGGGTCCTTCTTGTATGGTCCTAGTACATCTACTGCTGTTTGCATTGTTGCTTTACAACAGTTTGACCAAGAGCCCTCTAAAAAACTTTATAAAGTGGAAACTTTCGGGTTTATTGACAGATTTAGAATTCCTTATTAAGCAGATCTTCACCATCGCATGTGCTATACTTAAAAAATTATCTGAATTTACATTAGCTCCTTTGAATATTCTCACATTTCGTAAATGACATTTTCCTATTAAGATATGTTCAATCTGGTTTACAACTTACTGATCGGGTGATGTTCATGTGCCCTTTGGATATTCTTGTGTGGATACAAAGTACTCCCCAAAATTAGATATCTGGACTCTGCAAAATTAATGGGCCTTTGTCCATTATTGTTGGTTATATATTTAAGGATGTTTTTGTCCTTTTATCCACAGGTATATTGTTTTTTTTCACAACTTGGTATTAAAGTTTTCAGCAATTACTTTCATATGGGGAAGTGCAGATCATTTTCAGCTTTCAGGAGGTGTTCGTGATAAGTCGGATTGGGAAAGGAGTAGGTGCTTAATGAGGATGTTGGATATCAGGAGGGATAGAATTCCAAAAGGAGACTGCTTGAAGTACAAAGAATTTGTCAAATACAGCAATTCGGTGAGGAGGAGGATAGATGTCGGAAGTACGATATTGAATGGAGGATTTAAATTGTAGGCTCTGAAAAATATAGGAGTTCTGAGTTCTAATAGCCTGGTATAGAAAGGTAGCAAGGAAGTACTGACAGCAGTAGGACGGTTAGAGCCACTTTAACTCGGTGTAATACTAGGTAATATGCGTATCTCTTGATATTCCGAAAACGAAACGTATTGAGCAATTCAGTAGGCATTTAAGTTTGACTTCAAGTTTTCCCAAGAGCCCATCATACACCATACAGCCATTGTCAAAGTGGGAGAAAACAAGAGATAAAATCAGGAGTAGACAGCTTTTCCTATGAAGGAGATAGCATTGATGGTTGTTTCAGTGTAGGAACAGTACAATGGGAAATTTTGGATATGTTTAGTTTCCAGGAGAGGGTTTGATCAAAAGTAACACCAAGGTTTTTAACGGAAGTATGGAATGAGTTTTTTTATTTTTTGTCCTTCTTGTCATATTTTTGCAATTCAGCTGCCTCTGTACACTATACAGACATCAATTTTCCTGCAGCTATACGAACTTTGTTGTTTTTTTCTACTTGGTTCTTGCAGGTGATCGTGCTACCGAGATACTTAAATTCATCACAGCTCTTGAATCTCCAGTTTCCTATTCTCATTTCCTCTCCTGTCAACTGGTCTCTTCTTGAGGTCCTTATGTACATGCTCTTATCTGTATTAATTTCTAGACCTAATTCTCCAGCTTCCCTCAGGAATTCTTCAAGGGCGCCTGAAAGTACTATCACAGTCTGTGCTATTATGAGAACATCCTCTATATATGTTAAATGCTGTGTCATATGATTATAAATTGTACCTCCACCATTTGTTTCTATTTTTCTTATAGCTGCTTCCAATACCAGATTAAAAAGCACTGTAGATAATGGATCTCCCTGTCTAAGGCCTCTTCCAAGTTTGAATTTTCGTGAGAGTCTCCTATTAAAAAGCACTCTACTGGATGTATCTGCCAGTGTCATCCTGACCAGCCTTATTAATTTCTTTGGAGTTCCTAGTCTCTCCAGTCGCTTGTACATTTTTTCCCTTTTTACTAAGTCATATGCTTGTCTGAAGTACACAAACAAATGATGTAATGTAATATCGTACTCATAGGCTTTCTCTAGTATTTGTAGTAGGCTTTCTCTAAGACATTGGCTGGTATAGAAAGGAAGTACTGACAGCAGTAGGACGGTTAGAGCCACTTTAACTCGGTGTAATACTAGGTAATATGCGTATCTCTTGATATTCCGAAAACGAAACGTATTGAGCAATTCAGTAGGCATTTAAGTTTGACTTCAAGTTTTCCCAAGAGCCCATCATACACCATACAGCCATTGTCAAAGTGGGAGAAAAATATAGAGATAAAATCGGGCCTCCCCGAATCCGAATAGACTCCCATGGGGATTCTCTTTACCATTGCCAAACAAACTACATTAGCAGTTTCTTTGACAGTCTTTTTATGGGGTGAGTTCTTCAGGCTCACCTCAACCATCCTCCTTCATCCAGACTTGGGACTGGTAGTTTTCTCAGCAAAGCTGTTCCAGTGGGCGGAGTTAAAAATATAATAGTCTTGTAAATTCTCCCTTTAAAATTTCTTGATATTATATATGAAATGAGAAATTTTGAGACAGATATAACAGAAATTTCTGCCTTTGACCTCACTTTCTTCCTTTTTTAATTTTTAGTAATGTAGAACCTAGATATTTAAACTCCTCTATATATTAAAACATATTGCCCTCATATACACCTGGTGATCTTAAAAACCAGCGCACCTTAAATTATGTTGTTATTTCTTTTCCAACAGAAAAACGTTGGCAATTTTTTTTATCTCAATAGAGTGTGACTTAGAAGACCACAGACAAAGAAAAAAAAAACATTTTAAACAATCTGTAATGTAAAATTGAGCAAATGAACACTATTAAACAAAAATAAACTGCATCTAATTCTTTTAAATCTGGGTCTCTAGTACCTAGTGTTGCCTCCCCTTGCTTGAATAACAGTCTATACTCTCGTAGGCATACTGTAAATAAGGTTGGTTACCAAATCTTGAATTTGATCCCATTCACGTTTTTGGAGATGACATGGAGGGTTCTGTTGTCGAAAGATTGATGTCCTAAGTTGGTTCCAAAGATTCTTAATTGGATTGAAGTCCGGGCTGTGAGCTGGCAACTCCAAGGTGCGTACAATAATCTTGTCTAGGTAATTCCATACAACATTTGTGATATGCAGCCGAGCATTATCCTACATAAAAAGAAAACAGAGGGCAAAAACTGGCCTAAGGTACTACATATTTCTCAATGATGTCAGTGATGTAAGTCGGTGCGTTGAGCATCAGCCTTCGGAATTCAAGGAGGTCTGTCCTTGATTCTAAACATATTCCATCCCAAACCACCACTGACCCTCAAAAGTGCCGAATCATTGTTTCAGGCAGCCCATGGACTCAGGCTGTGAATCGCTGGCTTCGACCATTCTCAATTAACAAAGTAATCTGAGCGACTGCCATGGTATCATTTCAAAACCATTTTGCACTTTTAAAAATTTTTGATACAAATGAAATATAGGTTTTCAAGAAAAAAAAACTCAAAAGCAAAACCAATGTAATTTAATAAGCAACTGTAGATTAACTGATATGAAGTCCACGTTTTACTCAATACTTTTATCGTTAATTCTTGAGAGGATTTTGAAATGTTCTCGAAAGAATTGGTATATTGATGCATGGCAATCCTCTTTGACCTATCATGTACCTATTATTACTTCAGGCACAAAAATATTTCTTTAATCTGCAGTTTTTACTTAAAAATCAAGGTGCACCGGTTTTTTTGACCGCCAGTTTATTTATTTCTCTGTAAAAAAAATGATATTTGGACATGTCTCCCAAGTATATATCTCTCCAACAATTCAACTACCAGCCATTTTTATATTATATTATATGTATTTTGTTTTATTCATATTTATTTTGAGACCTTCTTCCTTATTCATTTATTTTTGTGTATTTCAAGGAATTAGTAGGTCTTTCTAGCTTAGTTCCGAGCTTGCCTGGGCTCCTATGAAAAACCACACAATCACAGTCTTACTTAATAATACATAAAGTAAAAAAACGAGGAGTTAGTAAAAGCATTTGGAGAGACAAAGATGGGGACTATTAAAGCTGTTTTAGAATGAAAATAAATGTTGGATCTTTGAGATGCTCGGTCTTTCCAGAAAATTGTTTGCCAAGGATTTTGATAGAGAAACAGTATTGAATTGGCACCCTTCTGAATGTGGCATATATGCTTATAAGATTTAAGATTATCTGGGTGGAGTGGTTAACTTAATATCTACTCTGAAACAATCCTCAGTGACTATTAATGTGGTTTTTGAATCAATAGAGGAACCAACAACAGATCAAATTTTTGTTGTAAAGAAAATGCTGGAGGAGTGCTATGAGCACAATACAGATGTTAACCTCCTCTTCATTGACTTTAAGCACACTTTTTAGAGTGCTACCGGTGGGTAGTTTCTCAACATGTGTTTCATGTCATTATATCCATTGCACGAATTTACTAGATGTATTTTTTTTACACAGTTGTAAATATAATAATAAATAATAGAAAAAAAAACACGCTTTTGACCATGCCAGGAAACCCAAACTTTATCAAGCCCTAGAAGAGTTTAAAATCTCTCATAAATTGATAAACTTAATTAAAATGACCATGGCTCAAACACAAGTTAGTGTCTTTTTTTTCATCAAACCACCTGCAAAATCACACTTAACCTGGTTTTAGGCAAGCATGTGCCCTGTTAGCTATACTCTTAGATTTAATTCTGTTTAAAGTTGTCGACAGAATCATTCCTACTGACCTCGCAAAGTGAATGTCACAAATTTTTGATTGTATGGATGATCTTGTCATATTAGTAGAGGCGAAAGCACTCTAAAGGAATTTCTACTCAAGGTTGACAGTGTAAGTAAAATATTTGGCCTTATAATTTATGAAGTGAATACAAAATACATGGAAGATGTCTGCTTCCACAGCAAGATAAAGGCTGGATAATCTAGTTTTAGGGAGTTATTGATTTGAAGCTGTTGATCGCTTCACCTACCTTGGAGTGGAACGAAACTGAAAAAAAAAGGGATTGATGAAATCAGGAGTAGAATAATGACAGGGAACAGATCCTACTTCAGCTTTCAAAGATTGATGAAATCTAGCTTTTTGACTAAGCAAACCAAATTTAAAATGTATAAATCTCTGATAAAGGAAATAGTGAGTTATTGAGCAGAAACCTGGGCCCTGAAAAGTTCAAATCAGTTAGCTCTAAGGGTTTCCAAAATGAAAATATTAAGGCATATAATTGATTCAATGTGCCCTCTAGACACTTAGTTAATCAGGAAGAGCAGAGAAATTGAAATTCATTGGGCATGAGGATATAGTTAGATTTGCCGAATTGAGAGGAATATGTTGCCTTGGCCTTATACTGGATGAACAATTGATGTATAAAATAATAAAAGAAGAGTTTTGGAGCAGGAAAAGAAGAGATGTTCGGGCTGAAGAAGCCAAGAAGCACGCTAACCAGGCGTGGAGTGACTAATATGTAGGAGGAAAGTGCTGGATCAAGGTGATTGTACTAGAAACCAAAGATTCCCAAGACTGTGGCACCACAAAAGAAGTAGAAATGTCATTACTTTGATTGGCCATCTTCCCCAAACAGCACTCCTGTATCCTGAATATTACTGCATCTTTCATCCACTTGTCCTGTCCAGCTTTGGTTAAAATGAATGACCTAATAATTCTAAAACAGCATAGAAAATGGTTACCAATTCTACATTGATTGAAACAATGGTCAGGGATTAAATAGAGGTATATCTGTATAAAATAATACATTAAAAACTTATTTTATGATAAAATCATGATGCATTAATGACAAAGGACTGAAATATACAGGAATAAATAGTTAAAAGTATGTACATTCTGATGATGGGAATCGGTTTCCAAAATGTTATTGTTGAAATGTTAGTAAATATTAGCTTAAACAGAAGTAATATATCATCAATTACATAAGAAAATTAAGCTTTTTCCAAGAAATAATCGACATCCTCTTCGGTGATAAACACTGTATATTGTGCAGTTAATGAAGTATTAACTAATTTACATGTCAGGAATTACATTTTTTATAGAATTGGTTTAAAGAGTGCGACTAGTTGTTTTTTTTTTTTTCTTCCTCATCTCATATATATATATATATATATATTTACAAAATTTCTTCAATCGACCTTTGAGTATTATATTTTAACATAATTATTTAAATTGGGAATTAGGTCACTTAATTTTTATTCAATAAACTACAAAATGTTCATTGAAGTGAACATTTTATAGTTTCTTGAATAATAATTAAGTGACCTAATTCCCAATTTAAATAATAATGTTAAAATATATATATATATTAGGAAATAAAAATTTTAAAATGTCAAAGATGTTTTTGTTTATTTTTTATTATAATTGCAGGTCAGTACATTCGTAAAGATCTGAACATGCCAAAACATTTACCCTATAGGAGTGGTGGAAATCAGGCATTTTCTCATGATACCCCTTTAACTAATATTGGCATATTACAAGCTCATTTAACTGGTGAAGCAATGAAAGAAAATAAAAATGAGATTCACCATGTGTTTGTGTCACCTTCATTAAGGTGTGTTGAAACTGCTCACAATGTCCTTTGTGGTAAGTTAACATTATTTAATTTTATAATTTTTCAGATACAATTTACTATAGTATAGGATAACTACATACTTTTTATTCATTAATAATAGTTATACACTTATAATCTATTCGTTCTATGGATCTACTGATTACCAAACCCAACTAATTGTTAATAAAATAGTTGAAAGTCCAGAGAGTCATGCAGTTTAGAACTTACCTTTTCTCTAGGGCCTGTCCTCCTTCAGAAGACTGATAATTTCAAAATTGATTAAGTAATCACACAAGCAACAATTCTAATCCTCTTAAATTTAATAAATTAGTATTTCTCAAGAAAATATTTTGTTTCTAAATCCAACAGGAAGCGAACTATCAAGCTTTCAAAATGGGTCAAGTTTTGAAAATTTGCCAAAAACCTTGCATTTTTTTTTCTAACTATATGTTTTCCTAGGTGATATAGCTCAAACATGTTTATATGAAAGATTAAAGTACATATAATTTATTTTAACTTTTAAAGGAAACTTAATTATTTTTTTAACTTAACATCAAGGGAGCCAGAAAAAAATGTATATATATATATATATATATATATATATTTATTTATATTTTGAGAAAAAATACTTGTAGTTAAATATTTTGACAGTTGTCAAAATCATATAAAATTATATGATAAAGTTTTAAAATAAATTACATATTTTTTATAGGACTTGAAATTCAAAATTCAATCGCCATGAATATTGAGCCAGGTTTATTTGAATGGCTCTCATGGTACCCCAGTGGTGTGCCAGATTGGATGACTGAGTCAGAGCTTATAGCCTCTGGTTTTAATATTGAGGCGAAGTATGAACCTATTATAAAAAAAGATGAGCTTGAAAATACTAAGGAAAATATAGAAGAGTTTTATAGGAGAGGATATCATGTTATTTCAGAAATCCTTTCGAAAACTGAAGAAAGAGGTAACTGATTTCTATTAGATGAAATTAAATTTTATTCTAATGTTTAGTAAATGTTAGATAACTAATATGAATTTTTATCATGTAAAATTAAGTATCATTTAACAGTCAGTGTTTATATGGTTGGTCTTAATCAGGCTGTCTTTCAGTCGAGGAACGCAGGAATATTTTTTAAATTTAAATGGTTGAAATAAATTGGGAGTTAGTCAGGAATTCATATTAAATTCTGTAAAATTCCTCATGAGTTGCCAACTTTTACGCCTTTCCTCAATTTCAGTTGTACCTAATTTGAGCTGTCTAAAAAAACAAATAGATTTCTTTTTAGGGCATTTATCCAAATGGAAACAAATATGGGAAGCAATTTGTGTTAGGTCTGACCATAATTTTTGTTTTTCAAATAAAGATTTTATTTTATTCATTATAGCTTTTCTTATTGATGCAATTATTTTGGTTTATTGTTTCAATAATTAACTTTTGTAATCAACCAAGAAAAGAAATGGCTCTTCAAATTTGATTTTTTACATTTCAAAATACATAGAAACTAAACTTTAAATATAAAAATATGCATCCATGGCTTTTTGACAATTTTTTTTCAACTTCAATTTAAAGTCACAGTTCACTCTAGGAAGAATCTTTCAGAACTCAACATTACCATACACTATTTTGTTTCAAGATAGCGGCTGATGAGAAATTTTATATACCGATGTCCGCCGCCTTTCTTCGAGAGAGCTGGAAGATTTCACGCCATTGTAATGGTTTATATCAAGATAATCCTCGGAACTTGACATTACGATAATTTTATTTTTTCAGAATGGTGATGGATTTGAAGTTCCATAAGCTCATATCTCAAATTTATGTAAAGATAACAGAAAAATATCAATTTTTCCTCAATTATTGGAAAAATTTGGGAATTTCAATTATTTAAATTGGTAGTCATCTTGTCAATACCTGAAAAATGTTAAAATTTTAATAGAGCCAAAAATAGTTCAAAAGATTAATTTCCATCATATTGAAATTTGTTTATTTTAATTATTAAATTCTAGCAGGTTATATACTATTGAGTTAAAAATGTTAAATAATTTATTGTTTTTAGCAAAATTTAGGCAAAAATTTAATAATAAAATAACCTAAAGTCAAAATATTTTATACTTATATGTTTTCACATAAAGACTGATAATTTGTTTGTTCTATTTTTTTTTTTTTTATGCTCCTTATTTCAATTCTAGGTCATGTAAAATTAAGAATATTTTATGATTTGACATGATTTGCTTGCTATTTTTTTTTTTTTTTCCAACTTGTATTACTTAATTGGTTGAGGTTTGTTTACATTTTGATTATTGCATTTTAGTAAAATTAACAGTAAGAATTTCTTATTGTTTAGGAGGAAATATTCTGCTTGTTGGCCATTCTTTGACACTTGATGTTTGCTCAAGATTATTACTTGGAAAGCAACCCCGAAGTTCCAAGGAAATCTACCGGATTCTTCCAAATATACATTACTGCAGCATTTTGAGTATGCGTCAGTCCAAATCAAAAGAATGGATGGTGAAAGAATCTGGGTCCCTTTCTGTTACTCATGGTAGTAATATGCAGTTTGATCCCACCAAACTTGGGTTGTAATCATGTGATATTTTGTCGTTGTTGTTGATGTTACTTAATATGTATTGTGTATATATTTATTTTTTAATTATTATAAATTATGTATTATGGATAAAATAAATGTAAGCATGTTATCTTAATTCTTAATTGTTGTTGTTGTTTTTTTTTGTTTTTTTTTTTTGTTAAATGTATTTTTGTTTAAATAGATTTTGTTCTAAAATTGTTTTATTAACTGTTCATTTCTCATAACCTAAATTCACAGGATCAATTTCATTTATTTTTAAATAATTATGTATTTTTATTTCTATACTTTACAAACTTTGATAAATTATCAGTAATCCTATTTTGATGGTGTTTCACTTTTTTTTATTATTAATTCAGTTGTTTTTATTTTATTTTTTCCTTTATTCTGCAAGTCCTATAACTTATATCAGAGATATTTAAAAAAAAAAGTTGATATTGGTGTATAATATTATTTTTACTAATATATCAATATTTATATCTGAGTATCAAAAATAATTTTTTTTTAGAGACAAAAAGACCACAAAGATGTTGGTTTCTCGACAAAAAAAAAAAAAAATAAACTTTTTGAATTTTCGATAATGGTATGATTTGTTTATGTTATGATATATACTTACTGTGTCTGACAGCATGGCACCCCCGTTTGTTGTAGAGGTAGAAACTGGGCTAAAAAATGTCTTCACTGATTCATAATAAAAAAATTATATTTTTATATGGTTAATCATATTAAAGATAGTTAAATTGTTTAAAAATCATGGCATCTGGCCACGATAGATGATTGTGGCTGTGGTAAAATTAACTGGCATCCATCCTCCATTTTTTTGTTTGTGTTTGATAATGCATTGTTTGTGATTTACATCTTTCGTGTCAGTAGTTTGGGAATATTTTACAAAATATAATTAATAAAAAAGAACTGAAACAAGAAATGTTATGTGTAATTTATGCTGAACAAATGTGTAAAATGAGTGGCAATACCATACTTTTTGTTTAGTTCCTAGTAATAATTGTTTTATTGAAAAATGTTAGTAAATTGGTACTTTTTTTTGTAATAAATGTAGGATTCTTGAAAAATAAATCAACTTTACAAAGTTTATTCAATACTTAATAACCATACAATTACAAAATTCAAATATTTAGATTAGATCACATGTAGGTTACACATAACCAGTGTTGCCTCTATGCTACAATAAGTAATATATTAATATTTATTTGTTACTGTTAAAATATTATAAATGTACAAAATGAGTGGTTATACCATACTTTTTGTGTAATTCCTAGTATTAATTTTTTTCTTGAAAAAGGTTAATGAATTGTTGCTTTTTTTGTAAGGAGCAATATTTATTTGTTCTATCAAAGCTATTACAAATCTAATTCTTCGATGTTAACCATCTTTCTGTAATTTTTAAAATATGATTAAAAACATCTAGGTGTGAAATATCTTTTTTCTCTTTTACTGAAATTTCAATGTACACCCCAACTCTTTAAAGGTTATTTTCTAATTAGAGTAGAAGTGTCACAAAAATAACAATTGATTCAAATGAACATTGAACCTACTTCAATCCATACTAAGCTCTTAAGAACACTTATTCCTATGTATTCAGTTATCCAAACCTTGTTTTGGATTGATGAAATGGCAGATTTTTTTTTGATTTTTTTACTTTTATACATCATTAAAGACCTTTGAGAATGATGTTTGTTCAGTAGTTTCAATATTTTGATAAATTTTATGAATTTCGTTTCAATAATAAAAATACTTGATTGATAGGTCCTCTTGTGTTGAAACAATAGAACAACATTTCCAGCAGGAATGAAAATACTAAAATAAACAATTATTAATAATTGTATAAACCAAATAACATATGCTTATATTACAAAATCTAAATTCTTTCCATAAAGAAGTATTCACAAATTTTGTTTTATATGTTTTGAATATTTATTATTGAATACAAAGAATAATTGTAATATTTCTTATTTTAAATATTAGTCGAACTATCTAGATAAAGAATAGATATTTAGATTTGTAAATCAATTATGATTTAGTGAATGGTATTCATAGGGGTATAGACTATTCTTTTCAAGAGGTGAGGTGAGGAGATGTTCAAGAATTGTATCGTGCTCTATTCTTTAATTGAATGCATTTGTAAGGGGTGAGGGAAGTGCATTTGTAAAGGGTGAGTGATCCGCTATTGATTAATGTTAATTAAACTTGTTTTATTATCCTTTTCTGATTCAAAACATAAATTAATATTGTCTAGACCATAATCGGTGTACAATTATCTCAAAAAAAAATTTAATACAAAGTTATTTTACCTGCCATAGCATGTCCTGAGAGTAATACATAAAATGCTCCCTGCAACATTTTCATGCTCATTGTTCTTAATTTTTTGTCATCCTCCCTTTGATGATTTCTTTCGATGTTGTTATCTTTAGTATTTTCTTTCTCTGAGACTGTTGCTCCTAGTTCACCAAGTTTTTGATATTCATCTTCAGTTATTTTTGTCAATATTCCAGCTTCAAACAACTGCATTAATCTAAAATATATAAATTTATGTGTGTATATATACACACACACCTATAAATTAATTTCAAAGAATGGAGACTATTAATCATAATGATTAGAAGCATTAATACATTTTCACAGTATAAAGAAATTGTTCTATATTTTTAACCCCAACATTGAGTCTCTAATTTAAATCTAAAACAATTACTCAAGCTTTCTGTAATCAGTCATTGATTTATTTTTTCAATTTTAGATTGGACAATTTACTATAGACTTAGATCAAAACTGTTATTTTTAAATTTGATTTGAACTATTATATACATAAATATTATACTCACTACCGGCTTCTATTATATTAAATGATGAACTTTCAAGAATGATTCAATGATACACAGAATAAACACCATCATCTAATTATTACTGAATACATAATACTGCATCTCAAGCCATAATTTTTTTAAGAATCTTACTTACCTTTTTTTGAAGATCTTGAATTCTTAGTCCATTATAAATCCTAATGAAATATAAATTAGATATTTTTTCTGTATATTCAAATTTACCATAGAACTGCTAGTGGGTTAAGAAATTGTGTATTTTTATCTTTATAATAAAAAAAAAGATGGTTATTAGGCTATCTAGGCCCATCCTTGACAGTTCTTTGAATGAGACTTACTTTTCAGACCCATGTCATCCACTCTTGATTGTTTAGACCAAGTCTGTACTTTATATATATTGAATCTACAGCTTCACTATATTTGTGAAGTTGCAGACTTTTTTGTAACTATAGCTCTAAGTCATATGGACACAAAAGTTTATTTCATCATTTGGTAAATTTTTCAAAAACAGTTTATACAACCCTTGCATATAATAGATTTGAAACAGATATCTGATAAATAAGGAATGAAATTTTCCGTATATTGACTTTTTGTTCTGTAATTTATTCTTTTTTTAATAAAATAAACTTTGATGGACATGATATGTACTTAAAATAAATGCCATAAGCTGTTACCATTAAAAATTTTGTTGTAACAAACAAGTGAAAACATAAAAATCTTAATGAACTCGGACTTGCTACTTACACTCTTTATAAAATGCCATCACTATTTTCGAACTTAGAATAATACGTTTTGAACAATACTTTTCCGAAATGATTCATTTTAATTGATTGGTATGAATAGATTCACATTAAAAGATTAATTAACTGTTTAGTGTTAATTATAAATGCTTACATTCCATTGAAGTTGTCAATAAATGGGCAGCCCATTTGGAGAGCAATGGCAGAGTAACGTGTAAAAAGTTTTTCACTTAGATGGAAGTGATGAATACCTGCAATCAAAATTTAACATAAATATTAAATTTTACGATATTGAAGTAAATTCATTTCTGATTAAAATCCTACCGAATCTCTTAGTATTATAGAAAAATGTTTCCCGGCCACCAATAACAGCAATATTTTTTTTGTCTCGAACCATAAGCATTCCTTCTTCTGTAGAGTTTAATAAATATGTTTGTTGTGTTTTCATTTTCTCCCATATACTTTTGTACAAACCAGTTCCATTCTGAAGCATGCATACAGTTATTAACAAAGGCTGGAGGCTTGTTATCTCATAAAAAATCTTAACATATGTCATGATACATCTGAATAATTGTTTTATTACTAATTTTCACACATTATAAATCTGTGTAATGCAAAATAAAAAGAACTCTTTTTTCAAAATTGTAGCAAATAATGAATTATAACGGATAGGATGAAAAGTAAAATTTTGGTTTGAGTGTGTAACGATGATGATATTTGATCATTATATATGATGTTTGGTTATATTATTAATATAGTTATTGTATATAATAAATTTTAAAAAAATTTATTTATTGAATATTACAACAATCTGTCTCTTGGACATTAGTTATAGTGAGGTAGGATAACATTCACACTGTATGTACAAAAAATGTAAAATAAATAGAAGTAAAATAATAATCAAAAGTACATACAATAAATAATAAAATAAAATAACCTAAAAATAAGAAAATTAAAACTAAGCAAAAAAACACATGCATACCTATATACAATCAGGTGAAGGAACTCCAGGAGAACCCTGCCCTACTCTCTCAACCGCATCACTGGTACTAAAGCCAGCGGAGATTGATCGAGAGCACTTTAGCCACATACACTCATGTCTTGAGTGGAGAATCTGGCCATTGCCAGAACTCCAATATATACAATCTGCAAAAGGTCGCGAGGCCACTGCCGTTTCAACCTTCTTGGAGGATTATAGGGATGGGAGGTGCTTGATAGGGATTGTGAAAGAGGATTTGGACGGTACATAAGGTTCTGGTGAAATTTGGAGAATTTTTCTGGGATAAGGTCTAGAACAAATGGGATGTTGAGGTCATGATGTAGGGTTTTGTTGGTTACATAGAAAGGCGCATCGACTATTGTTTGAAGGACTTTTGACTGGAAGGGTTGGATGTGATTGATGCTAGAAAACTTCGCTTTCCTCAGTATTGTCTTGTAGATCAGTAGCTTGTTTTCAATGGAAAGTTTAGATTTTCTGTTAAGTAGTCGTAATAGTTGGCCGTATCGTCGGTTTAGTTCCTGTCTTTTAAGTCTAGTATGAGGGTTCCAGGTTAGTCGTCGGTCTAAGAGAAAGCCAAGGTACCGGACTGTATCTGAAAAAGGAAGCTGGATGGTGTTAAAATAAACTGGTGGACAGGATTTACGACAAAGGGTGAAGGTTATGTGTTTACATTTTGATTCATATATCTTAATGCGCCATTTCTT